CAACTTGTTCCAGATAAGGTCTCATTATCGTTAATTGTTATTATTATTGTTATTATTGTTATTAACCCAGCTCCTATGAAAAGCTGCCACGGCTTTGTTAACGATCTCAGGTCAGGGGTTTAATTAAAACCTCCTCTAAATGCCGAGGCCTCAGGCACCACGTTACCGCCCCCACATCCGGGCTCCACCTCCTCCGAGCTCCGCCCCTAGGGTCCCCTCCACCCCCGGATCCTCCCGCCCCCACCGAGGGTCCCCGCCGTTCTCACTCCTGCCAACCATTCCCCTCCCTTTCCAGCCCCCTTCTTCTCCCTCCCCCATAATCTCACAAACTTTATTGACCCCCTTCCCTTCTCAGCAGTTACCTAGTGCCCCCAAACGGTTCCCAAGAGCCAAGCGTTTCGGAGGTCATGAGAGCGAAGAGGGGGGTCCCCTGAGCCCCGCCCTGCCCCCTCGCCGCCCACTTCCTCCACCGCTTCCCTGGTCTCCTATCCATCTCCGTGAGAACTGCGGGGATCGCTTCTCAGGTGGTGAGGCCGGTTGGGTGGGTTGGCTGGTTTAAGGTTACGAAGTTTGGCACTAACTTCCAGCCCCGTGCAGCTGCCTTCTTTAATTAATTAATTCCAATTTTTAAAAAAACCATCTCAATTGGACCTCAGTTGCATGCCTCTGGGGCATATGTCACATCAATTACAGACAACAATTAAGCGTGCTGCTTAAAAGAATCTGTGAGCCTCTTTAAAGACACAAATACAATTGGGCCTAACTGCTTTTTCACTGCTGTAGACAGACCCAGAGGCAGAAGTCCCAAGGGAGGAATTGGACTGCAACTTTGCTTAGAGGTAGCAGGATGTGTGTCCCACCCTCTCACCCTCAACCCCAGGGTTCCTCTCTGCCTTTGCTTAGACATCCAGGAAGCTTAACTATTGCAGGTGGAGGGGTGGCCTCATTTCTCTAGGATAGGACCAATGTCCCTCAAATTCAAAAGTCCACCACTCCATTGCCCTAACTGGCCATCTTGCATGGTTAAGGTTGAATCTCAGGCTCCCTAACAGTAGGATGAGTATTGAGTTGATCTGCCCTTTTTCCATCAGTGGACATGGTATATACAGGGTTAACCGATGTTTTCATCACAGTGTTTTTTGTTTTTGTTTTTGTTTTCTTTAAAAGATGACCGGGGGGGCCAGCACTGCTATAGTGCGCCGCTTGAGAAGCGCAGCGGCGCTTCCACCGAGGGTTCGGATCCCACATACAGACCGGTTCCCGCTCACTGGCTGAGCGAGGCGCGGGGGCAACGCCGAGGGTTGCGATCCCGTTGCTGGTCCCAGTCCAGTACGGGGGCGACACTGAGGGTTGCGATCCGTTGCCGGACACGGAAAAAGACAAAAAGGAAAAAAAAAAAAAAAAAAAGATGACCAGGAGCCAGCCCGTGGCTCACTCGGGAGAGTGCGGTGCTGATAACACCAAGGCCCCGGGTTCGGATCCCACATAGGGATGGCCGGTTCGCTCACTGGCTGAGCGTGGTGCTGACAACACCCAACCAACAGGTAAAAAACCCCCCCCCGTCCTCCTTTTTTA